TGTGATAGAAAAATATATTGAGCTGAACCTTTGCAAACATGTAGAAATAAATGTGGAAACCTCGGATTCAAATCCGAGAGTTATGTGTACTTCAAAAAGTGAATGAGAAAAATCGGTCATCCTAGAATGTGTGGATATAAAAATTGGCCTAGCAAACCTTTTCTATAAACACTTGAATTCTATTGGCTACTGCTCAACCAATAGGATTTCGGGGTGAATACAGATCAGATTTGGACTCTTCGTCTTGAGTTATCCTAAGAAAGTTATTTTTCCTATAACTCGATTTCTATTGGTCAGTGCTCAACCAATGAGGCTTCGAGGCAAGTCGAGCACAGATTCGAGTTCTCCGTCCCAGAAAACCTCGAACTATCATCTCTGTGATCGTAAGATAGAGCCCTACTTGTAAATCGATTAGAGCGCAGACAAAAAGAGAACCGATTTTCGTTTATTTATCTGTGCAATAGGTGAGCTAGCCTTCTTGTTTCTTTATGTTTTATATACCATTTTGTAGCTCGTGAAATTCTCTATCGAATGGTATATAATAGCTGGAGTTTTATTTGACTATGATAGTAAAAGTTTTTTACGAAAACAGATAAGGGTCTATCTTCTCAGAGGGAAGCATAGGGAAAAATGACTATTTTTGCAATAACCCAACAATGGCTCGGCCAATCATTCTCATCTTCTTTTCTCGACCGAGATATTGTTAAGACTGAACTGTGTAGAAAATTTCATCACGATCGGACTCTTCTTTCAAACGTTATCGTGTAAACGGCCGGACGGCCACACTGACCGATTCTAGAGTGTACTCACTTTTTGAGTACACAAAAAGTGTAAGGAACAAACTTTCTAGCGGACGTTTGTTTGAATTCTGAAGTTCACAAGTGGATATAGGAGGATTTTTTAATTTCGCTTGTTCTTCCATGTATTTCTGCTGGCGCGTTCTAATTTAGGCCAAATTTTACATTGATGTTCTTATTGAGGACATGGCACCTAATTAGAACGTGAATAGTCGACTTCATTCTATCACTTATAAATCTATTATTTCTCAACTTTTTTTAAAAATTTTTTCACCAATAGATAGAAAAGACATTGATCTATTTAGTCATTAAATTTGAGCACATTTGCTTATTGTTTGACTGAGATATTAGAGTGAAAAGACGAAGATGTGAAAAGCCTGTTCTTATTTGGGCCATGCGCTCTATAAGTTTCATAATTACAGCAAATCTTTTCATTTCACACTTTTATAGTTTCATAAAGTATATGTGATCGACAGGAATAAGTAGTGGCGTAACTACCGAGGGGCACGAGGGTGCAATACGCCTCCTGTAAATTTTTGATCGAAATACGACAAACTTTTCTATTTATCCGCCGTGAGATGTTATGTTTGCGGCCTTGAAAAACATGTAACTTTACACGACAGAGGAAATAAGAACTTCTTTTCTGAACAATCGTCGTGAGCGTGGCCACTTTCGGTAGCAAAAATATTGAAAATAGAGATGCGTTAGACCAATTTTTGAGTTTTATAGGACTGAGACCGGGATCTGTTCAGGAATTTTGGTCATGTCAAAACTGTCATTTTACAAGAAAAGTTAAATATGGAACTTCAAAAACCTAGATTTTTCTTAAGAATATTCGGATGTTAACTTTATCAACTTTGAAAACTGGATATATTTGGTGATTTAAATTTTTCACGATTTCGTATATATTGAAACAATACTCATCTTTGTGCGGGTTCCTTATCGACAAATAATGAGTTTGCACTAGTGGAGTATTTATCGCGAGGGGGAACACGGAATGCAATGCGCCTTGTGTAAATGGTTTTGTTTCTTTATAAATTTTTGAACGAAACACGGCGAACTTCTATTTATCCACTGTGAGATGTTATGTTTGTGATCTTAAAAACTATGTAACTTTATGCAACAGAGGAAATAAGGACTTCTTTCCTGAACAATCGTCGTGAGCATGGCCATCTTTGCTAGCCAAAATATTCATAATAGAAATATGTGAGACGAATTTTTGAGTTTTATAGAACTAAAACTAGAGCTTGTTCAGGAACTTTGATCCTGTAAAAATACTCATTTTTTTTAAAGAAAAATTCAATTTGGGACTTCAGCAAGCTCTATTTTTCTTATGAATATTCAACAATAAATTCATCAACTCTGCAAAATGTATATCTTTGGTGTTTCGAATTTTCCAGAGATTTTTATGTTAAAAAAAAAACTGACCTTTCTTCAGATTCAAGACCAATAAATAACGAGTTTGCATATCTCTAACTGGGAGACTTCTAAAGCAGTTACGAAAGGATTTATCCTATCTGAAAAGCTTTATTTTTAACAAGAATCGACAGTGTGGTCGTCTTCGGCAGCAAGAGTACTGAGAAATTTGTGAATTTTATCCCAGAATACATTTTTCTCGAAAAAGTCTTATTAGAGAAAATAGAAATTCTGCCTTGAGCGTGCAAAAATTTTTCGTTTCGAGAAAAATTATCCTGACTTTTGAACGATTTTATGAATTTTTTCCGACACGAACATCGTTGCATAACAATCAGTTGGAAACAACAAGATTTTCCTTCACTATAGGCTACAAAAACATTTATCTTCATGGAAAAACTTGTACCCACCCTCCCCTTTCCAATCTTGGTTACCTTTGAACACTTCTGATTGCATGATAAATTTTTCGTTCACTACGTAAAATGCTTGAAAAGGCATCGCCCCACCCCATAATTTTTGTTTTTCTGGTTACGCCACTAGGAATAAGCGACAATAAAAGAAAAATATCAAATAACATGTCCAAACCTCTTTTATCTTTTTCTTTTCGTAATGTAAAGTTATATGTGCTAAAAATATATTAACAAAAAGACACTTGCAATTTGTATTTTCAACTATTGTGTTCATCAATAATAGCTCACACAAGTTAATGTAGAAAAAATCTCTTCTATTTGAATGACAATTTCAGATAAAATGAAGTTAAAACGAAACACTGTTAATAAAAAGATGCAAACATATACTAAAATAAATGAGTTCGCAATATATCATCATTAGTCAAATCTTTTGTTACATTTCTTAAAACAATTATTCTAAAAATTGAGACAAATAAAAACACGAGCTTTTCCGTTGAAAATTTAAATACAAATCTTTTAAAAATCTCTTCCAATAATTAAAAAGTTAATCGAATTATGTTTATTCGAGAAAAAATATTAAGATCTTACTATTATTCACTTTGCTAAATCAAATTGAATATTTATTTGAATTTTATTTAAAATAAATTTAATTTACATAATCTATTTTAACTAATAATAATGTTTATTTCATTTATTCATTTACATCTAAAGATAGAAAAACTAACCATGAATTAATGATTTCAGTTTTTTTTTTTTTTTTTTAAATTAAAAATAAGATTTATTCTATAACAATCATAATGAAATGTTTAATTGACTATGATTTCTAAAAGAAAAGCAAAACAAAAATAAAATATTGATATTTGTTACTCCTACTTTTCTTGATTGACTAATGTTGCTTTTATTCTTGTTCGAACTTTTCTCCATCCATCTGTCTTTTTCGTCGTGTAAGTTCATAAATTTCATTTCCTACATCTGTTATAAAATCATCAATATCTTTTAAAGATCTACATAGAAAAAAATACTTTTAGAATAAAAAAATCCATATGATGAGATCTTTTGAAGTTACCCATCTTTTTCATTAATATAATCATTTACTTGTATTTCCAAAACTAATTGATTATTTTCATCCTAGATAATAAAAGAAAAAAAAATTCAATGGAATGCGTAATGGTTGATACTTACTGTCTTGAACTGAATAATAAAATTTTCATTATCAAAAAATTGTTCAACATGTATAATTAAATTCTCTCGAAAATAATCAACATCTATTGAATTCTTTTCACTTTTTTTCCAATCCATAATTTTTCTAAACTAAAACAAAAAGTTAATCAAGCGAAAAACAAAAACTTAACCAAGAGAAAAACAAAAATCTTTCTTACTTCGTATGTGATCAAACTATGTCGAAATTGACTAATATCGACTGACTTTTTTCCACTTTTTATCCCATCCATTATTTCATTATACTAAATGAAAAAGTTAATTAACTCAAAAAAATAATCCTGTTTCTTACTTCATTGTCCTTCAAAATTATGAAATCTCTACTTAAAAAAGTCCAATGGACCAATATGATCAATTGTTCTCTTGGATGTTCGAATTTGTTTTGATGTAAATGTAATACCATATCAAGAAATCGAAATCGACGTATCATTGACATCTATAAAAATGATTAATAGTTCTCTATTTACATACACAACAATAAATTATATTTCAAAATTGTAAATAACTAAAAAAGTCCTATTTCAATACATCTTAAGCAATTATAAAGTTAACCTAATTTCTTTTAATAGAACTTCAATATGAAAAAGAAATCATATTTAACAGAGATTTTTCAACAAAAACTTACATTTGTTTTTTTACAATGAACTTTATTAATAGATAACCGTTGAATTATCTAAACAAAATATAACATTAATTATTCATTTCTCTTCATTTTCTTACAAACAAAATAAACTGTACTTAGATAAAATAAATATAGGATGAGATGAAAATGTTTATTACAATATATCACTATCAGATATATTGCGATTTCACTATTGTATATCTTCTTTTCTAATGATTTGTTTCTTCATGTTATATATAAATATATATATACAGTAGTGGTCAAAAGTCCCGGTTCTGTTTGAAAACTATTTAGATAAAGTTTGCTTGTTTTGGAACTTGTACCAAACCAAGTACTCAATGAGTCCTGATCGTAGTCAAGAGCTCGAGTCCTGCTTCCCTTACTGAGACTGAGATATTAGGTTCGCACCAAGAATTTTTTCTTAATATTTTTGATGAAATTGTGTGATATATCAAGAAAATACTGCTACTTTTCGATTTCTTGAAGTAAACGCAATATTTTTAACGCAATAGCCAATGCCGATAATGATCTACCTCTGCCAGAAAGGTCACTTCGATTTACCATACTCTGATGATTTTCCAGAGCTGTCAGTCCAGAGAGATAGAATGATATGAATCTTCACTTTTATACCGACCATAACTCTGAAAATTTTGGAATAGATTTGTGGATGCTTATACAGTCTGCAATAAAATTTTCAGGCCAAATGGTTGAGCCTAGCTCGAGATTTGAATCAAATACTGATAGGATGTAATATAGCAGTTCCATAGGTAAGCAGTATATAGGCCATTACTTAACGACAAAACGTCAGTTTGTAGTGGAAATTTTACTGAGGAGAGACCAAAACCCAGGCTTTCCAACGATGGATCGAGCGGCATGGTATCTCTTTCCTAGCTCGAGATAACACAATAAGAAAAGATCTTTGGTGTTGACCTGATATCTCAACCTCAATAGGGGAAGAAGGACTCCAGCTCTTGCCTACTATCAGGACTCACTGAGTCCTTGGTTTGATACAAGTTTCAAAACAAACAAACTTTGTTTAGATAGCTTTCGTCCAGGGCTGGGACTTTTGTCCACTACTGTAAATGTCGTAGAACAGTTACAATGCTCGACGAAATTATAATTTCATTAGACAAATTTGACGAATTTCTAAGGCCCCGAACAGACTGACTAATTCAAAGTGAATTAAGAAACACGATTGGCCTTTTTGCATAGCAACGCGAATTGTATTGGTTAATTCAGTTTTATCGTGTTCAGTCTGTTCGGGGCCTAACTATTTTTTCTGACATTGTTATAAATTCGTCAATTTTGTCCAATGAAATTGAAAGTTCGTCCAATAGTGTAACTTCTCTATGACATACATATACGTCACCGTCCAAATTAACATTACATTCAATCACACATTAGTCTAAGTAAATATGACAGTCTATATTGGATGCACATTCATTGAGATTATTCTCTTATAAAATATAGAATACATATTCATTCTAAGATTGAATTGGTCTGAAATCGTCAGACGAAATTTCGAATTGACTTAAGCTAATGCCAGAATAAACATATTCAATTCTGTACTTGATGATAAGTATCGTGCTTGAACAAATTATATTTCTATGATTTAGTAAGCCAGATTTAAGTATAGTGAAGTACAAAAATATAATGAACTGACATATTGAACAAAAAATTAATAAAATTGAATATGATTGATGTTGTTGATTGTCACAATGTGAACGGTTTTTATGATATTTTATAGAACAGAAAACATTGTTCTTTTTATATACAGATGATTTAGTTTTGCGTACATATTTGCAATAGTAAGTAGTTCATTCACTGCATTATGAATAAATTGTTTCGAAATAGTTATTAACTAATATATCTTTCACATGAGCTTTGTTCAACTGAACTAGTTGTTCAAGTATAGCTGAAAGCTTTACACGAGATTTCAATCATGAATGTTGATTAATGGCGCTGAACATTCCTTTTTGTCATGTGATTTTTGAAAAATAATCGATGGTAGAATCTTTTGATTCGTATGGGTTTGATCAAACTTGTTGATTTTAATGTTAATATAATCACTCTTGATCGTTTCATTTGAATTTGATAAATATGCTTTTAGAGTGCAGTTACGAATTGGAAAACGAAAAGACTAAATATAATAGTTAAATAGAAAAGCACACTACCGAGTTAGAAATGAAAGAAAATACTTCTTGAAGTCGAATAGAAGATTAAACATCAAGATATGTATTGTGAGTGAATGTTTGCATTACTGCCTAATAAAACAATACATTGTAGCAGAAGATTAACTTATCATCTTATATTATTGATTCTTACAGTGCCCTTAACTTAATATTTCTCCGACTCTTTAAGTTTAGCTTTTACTCATTTGGTTTTAGAAAGCGAAATATCTCTATATTGTAATGAGTGCACAAAGTTCACAATTCATTTTGATATTGATCTAAACCGGTCTGAAATTCGTTGCACTTATCTTTCAGTCTGACAATGAACTAGTTCAATCTTGAATTCAACTGACTAACTTTATACAAGAAATTTATTGTTATGAATAAAAGTAATCTATCATCTGGTTCAACGTATGAACAACGAATAAGAAAAGAAAATTTACATAAAGAATTTGAACAAATACAAAATGATATTCGGTAAAAACAAAAGAATTTTTCGACTTTTTTGTTTGAAATAATTTTTTTTTCTGATAGAAATATTTGTTCATTTTTGAATTTATATTCGGCTATGTTAGAATCATATTTTTTTGTGATATTCAACGAGATATATTAGCAGAATTTATACTTTCAAATGTAACATTTTTAATAAAATTCTTTTAAAAGATTTTGATTGGAAGGGTTTTTTTGATCAAAAAAAAAAAAAAAACAAAACGAAATGAAATTAATAATTGTTGAAAACTAATGATATCCTTCGATATCTTCCATAATGAGATAATTATTTGGAAATATTTCAAACAATTTTACAAGAATCAAAACAAATGCTTTATGTAAACAATGGAAAAATATTTTAAAATTAGATACTTGTTTAAGAGATGCATATACATTTGATGATATTATATATAACAAGAAGAGTAGAAATATGTTTTTATTATTGTATAGTTTATTAGAAGATCTCTTGCTTAACAGATTAACACTGTCAATGTGAAAAATGTGAATAAGAACTTTATCTAGGTTTACAAGAAACATTATTGAATTCATTTAAATGTAAAAAAAACAACAACAATCAAAAGGTTTGTTTCATTCTATTCGAGATACGAATTAGTCGACGAAGGGTGTGGGTGTGGGTGTGGGTGTGGGTGG